TGGATGGATGGATGGGTAGATGGATGGATGGATGGGTAGATGGATGGGTAGATGGATGGGTAGATGGATGAACAGGTAGTTGTGTATATACGTGAGTGGATGGATCGGGTGGGATGGAAAATAGACAGGTGGAGAGATGAGGAGTAGATTGAGAGTGGGTAGGTACATGGATGGATGGATAGATGGGTGGATGAGCAGTGGGTGAGCAGGTGGGTGGATGGGTAAATGGATGGATGGGTAGATGTGTGGGAAGGTGGATAGATGGGTGGATGACTGAGTGGATAGATGGATGATTGAATTAGTAGGTGGATAGACTGATCAGCGGGTAGGTGGGTGGATGGTTAGACAGAATTGGATGTGGAGATGGGCTGTGGGTGAGACCTGCCCCTGCCCTGCCCCCTTTAGTCCTCACCTCCCTGCTGAAGTTCACTTGGTACAGCAGCTCGATTCCCAGCAAGATGCTAACTTGGTGGAACTTCTTGGATACGTTCAGGTGCTTCTCCAGATCCCGCTTCATCAGTGAGTTCAGCATCCTCCCGTCAACCAGGTGGTTCTGGAAGGCCTGGGAATACTGGGACAGGCCAATGTCGTTCAGCCAGGCCTTGGCCACCCAGTGATGGTCCAGGTCAGCCGCTTTGGACAGGCTGGAAAGAAGACACAGCCAGAGAGAGGTGGGAGTGGGGAACGCGTGGAATGAGTGGGGAGGTGGAGGCAGGTGGAAATGGGATCAGAGATAGGCAGAGAGGACAAAAGATAGGACAGGAAGTAGACAAGAAAGCCATAGAGGCCGATGGGGAAAGGGATGGAGCAGAAGAATAGCGGGGAAGAAAACAATGAAAGGGTCAGAGATGTGCAGGGAGGAGAGAGAAAGAGAGAGAGAGAGAGAGAGAGAGAGAGAGAGAGAGAGAGAGAGAGAGAGAGAGAGAGAGAGCGAGCAAAGGATCCCAGGGACAAAAGGAACATTCATAGACCACACTCAGGCTAAAACTAGAAGTAGTAATGTCAGGAGAAGAGATGCTGTGGTGGTTTGTATATGTATGCTTGGCTCTGACAGTGACACTATTAGGAGGTGTGACCTTGTTGGAGTAGGTGTGTCACTGTGGGTGTGGGCTTTAAGACCCTCATCCTAGCTGCCTGGAAGCCAGTCTTCCATTAGCAGCCTTCAGATGAAGATGTAGAACTCTCAGCTCCTCCTGCACCATGCCTGCCTGGATACTGCCATGTTCCAGCCTTGATGACAATGGACTGACCCTCTGAACCTGTAAGCCAGCCCCAACTAAATGTTGTACTTTATAAGAGTTGCCTTGGTCATGGTGTCTGTTCACAACAGTAAAACCCTAACTAAGACAGACACCTATAGCCTGGTGCACCTCTGCAGAGCACAGGACCCCTCAAAGCCTCAGGCTGACCATCCCCACTCTAAACACCTGTATGCTTCCCTGTGGTCCCCTTTCCTGTTTGGGGGTGGGATAAGAAGTCTTTGTGATTTTCATAGGTCCACTCATAGTGTGCCAGGGTCTTCTGTCCCAAGACAGGGCTGTGGTTCAGCCCTTCCCTCATTGGCTCATCTCTGGATTAGAGAAACCCAGATTGCCCGTATCTGCAGGTTGCTCTCTGCATCTCACTGCTGTAACTCAGACTTTTGCACAAGACAGAGAACCCCAGAAATATGCAGTGTAGGTTTGCAAAAAGGCTTTAAGACATTTATTATTTACTATTTTTATGTCTCTGTTCCTTTGTGGGTTTATGCATGCTAACAGGTGTGTGTGTGTGTGTGTGTGTGCTGTGCGCCGGGGGGGATAGTTTGCAAGAGCATGGGTTGTCTGATTGCCTGGGATTGAAGATATTGGTTGAGAGCTGCCTGGTATGTGTTCCCCAAAAAGGCTTGTTGAGGGATGGAGATAACACGTAGCTAAGGCGGTCCCTAGCTGTTATTCCTCTTCTCACCACACAGTGGCAGCCTCACAGAAGGAATGAGGCTTCATAACCTACCTGCAGAGGGACACTGAAAAGAACGTGCTGGATGGTGGGAGTACAGCTTTGTTTAAGTGGGAGCCAGGGGTGGACTCAAAGGGAGCACTCACACACGGAGAGCACTCAGTACAAGAAAACACAATTGGCTCAAGAAGGGACACTGCTCTTCTCTTTGGGGCAGCCCGAGATAGCTGACATGTCCCATTCTGTCCCCAATGCTTTCTTGCCCTTCCTTCATCCCAAGAACATCTTCTGAGCCTGCACTGGAGGTGCTGATAGAGCCCCCTCTTCCTTCCCCCAGAGGGTGTCTCTCCTGATCTGTTTTAGGTTGTCTCCTCATATCTGGTTGGTCACTGCCCTCAAAACACTTGACACGTATTGCATTTAAATAGAAAGGGATTGATCATCCACTAGTTTACTGTCCCTTGTCTCTAACTTAGAGGACAGGAATGGTGGTCAGGAACAGGGCCATGTTCACTGACATAGTGGGTGTGGGCTGGTCAGCAGACATTCACTAACTACCTATTGGCAGAATGTCTTTATGAGTTCCTGGCTTCCTCTCCTTTGCCATGCCCCAACCTCCTGGAACTGCCTGGCTGTCTCCCTAAGGACAGGACCTTGTCTTCTGTCTCCAGGCATGTTGCCCAACATTTCCTCTTCATCATTTTTTATGGACTCCACTGTGCTGTCTGGTCTCCTAATACCTTTCAGGAATACCCACTGGACCAGATCCTTTCACTTGCCCAAACTCTCAGATCCCCATGTGTGTATCTGGCATGTTGGAGTTAACTACAGCTTGTAGGCCAATTCCCTTGATAGACTATCCTGGTAAGGGACCAGGCAGCTCACTCAGCCCACCCAGTTGACTGAATGCTGCCTGGTGTGTCTTGAAACTCATTGCTTGGACAACAGATGAAGGCTACGAGGAGGGACTGGGCTCCCATCTGCCCTGATGCAGCTCCTAAACTAGAATACTCCAGCCCAAGATAATCTTCCTTCTGGGGTGATGGTTCCAGTGTAGAGCCTTCTCATTCTCCAGGGCTGGCCCAGCTTGTCATAGGGGATCCTTGCCCAGACCCAGCTTTCCTGGCCTTCGTGGCTCTGAATTGGGTACTCATGACAGCGCTGTCACTCATGAGAATAAGGGGAGAGTGCCTCCACACTTCTGCAGTCATTAGCGCCACACTGTTGGGGGTGATGGTCAGGAGGTACACCTGGCCTGACCTCAGCAGTGGCTCACTTGTAACCAGCACTTGTGCCTCTATATGTTCCCAAAGAACATACATGTGACCTTCAAAATACCCCTCTGCATCGAAGCGTGGTCACTCTTGCCCAGTTTCTACTCAGAGCTGATGTTGGAACCCAAGTCTGGCGTCAACAAGAATCCGGAAGCTGTTTCAACCAAGAGTTGTCAGTACCTCTTCCTCAGGTGGAGCTAGGCCTGACCCCAAAGTTTGAGGATGGACATGTCATGCAGAGAGTGTGTGGGTCACAAGTTAATATAAACACTGGGAGACTGTTCTGGATTGTGGGACCTTGCACCATCTAGGGCTGCTTCTTCTGTAAAATGGAGATAGCCAAATTTGCCACATGGACTGGTGGAGACTGAAGGGTTGGGGAATGGAAAGCCCTGAGCCCAGCTCTATAGCTAACAGTAGGAGCTGGCACTGTTAAACATCTAACACACTGCCACCATGGGACGGTGGGAAGACACCTTGGATACAGTGTGATTTCTTGCATGTTACCTGTCTTCACTTGACTATTTACCTCCAAGATGGGGGTTGTTATGTTTGCTTGAGACATGGATAGAATGGGGAAGTGGAATTTTGTCAAGAGACAGGGGAAGGGTTGGCAAAGGGAATTGTGGGACCCAGAGAAGCCACGCCCATTGTCACAGCTGGATGAGTTTGAGACAACCCACCTAAGACTCTGACCCCAGAATCTAAGGGCTTTTAAAAGTTCCGTGGCTGAGTCAGAGGGCAGGAAATGTTGAGTTATATAGTCTTGTACAGTTCATTTGGAAAAAGCATCAAAGCTTGTACTAGATTCCTAAATGGGCCCAGTCCTTAGCTTCTGGTTAACTCTGTCCTCTTTACAGGTAAGGAAACTGAGTCCCAGAGAAGACAAAGTTACCCAGCATATTAGAAACAGGCTTGGTTTCCACAGGGGATAGGAATCTCACACTAAGGTATCTCTCCACAGGACATAGACTGTCTAATGTGTCCCCACGTTTCCTGGGACCGTTCTGCTTCAACTCCGCCCTGCACATGTGGCTGTGCCTTTGAGCCACGTCTTTCTGAGCTGGTGGATCTCAGGTGCAGCTCCTCTTATGGTCCCTACATCTACATCTATGTGACAGTGTCTGAACGGGGCTATGGGAGGCGTTAGGGTTACCTGACATGACTCGGGGTAAATTATACTCCCCCACCTCTGTGTGAGGACCCTGAAGAGTAACCATGAAGAATATGCCATGAATAACCAGAAGGGGTAGTCCTGATGCAGCCAGCCCACACTGACACCGTCTTCAGAACTGGGAGAGACAGATGTCTGGTGTTTAGGATACCTATTTTGTATGGTAACCTAAGCTGATGGGGACAGCCAGGCTTTGGGGACAGTGGTGGACACTTAGGCAGTGGTGGGGACTCTGTGAACTGAAGCTGGCAGCTCCACATACTCGAGGGACACACACAGAACGGAGAGACCCTCTAGGATGTGAGGTGTGGTGTGAGCAGGAGGGAGCTCTGGGAGCTCTAGCTCTGGGAGTCAGGGTATGAGCAGGGACTTAAGGATGAAATCGGTCAGGAGGTGGCTGAGAAAGTACTTCTGGAGCCCCGAAGTCAGAAGTCCCCTGGGTTGAAGGGGTGAGTACCGGAGTCCTGGAGTTGGAAAGCCCAGTGGGTTGAAGAGGTGCCTCGTGGCCCCACCCCATCAGCCCTTCTCTCCCAGCCTGACACCTCTGCTGCTCTCGACAAGCTGCCAACTTTCTGACCTCTTCTCGGTAATCCTTGCCCCCAGTAATCCATGGTACCAGAGTCCCTCTCCATCCCCTCCTTCCTTTAATCCACAAAGCAGCTTCTGCAGATAGTGGCACACACCACTAGGTTTGATTAATTAACTGTACAGAAACGATGGGAAGCCAGCGAAGGAGATAATTATGCAAAACAGACCGTGTCAAGTTTACAAAACTGGCCCCTCCCCATTTGGAGCACCAAGGACTGGGTGCTGGGTGGAGTTTCCGTTTTCATCAGAGCGGCTCAAATGATGGACTCCCCACCCCCTGCCCCCCCATCCCTAGCAGGTCAAGAGAGAAGTAGGAAGGGAGTGGGGCTGGGTGGGGGTGGTATGGGGAAGGAGGACAGGTCTCTAGCATGGACAGCCCAGCTACCACCAGGTATAACTGCCAGGACATGCCTAAACCAGTTGGCTCCACTCCTGTGTAAGAGATTGGGTAAGACTATCCAATCCCTCTATTCCGTCCCCTTCTCCTTCAGTCTTCCCTCCTGCTCCCTTTCCTCACCCTGGGATGGACATGAGCTTTGAGCAGGTAAGGCAGACATGTTGGTTCTGTGTGGCCTGATCCCTGCCAGCTGGGCAGCCACCCACTCTCTGGACTCCTGCTCTGGATTGGAGGTATGTCTCCAATGTTCTGGGCATGTGTGCCTTCTCCTGTGTGTTCATTTTTCCTATGGTGACAGGACATGCCTAGGTTGCTGTACCCGATATCCTGAAACCTGGTATGGCCCAGTGTCCTGCTTGCCTGGGTGACAGAGGCTCAGGACAGAAAGTCCTTGCTTTGCCAGGGTTTCAGTGGCTCACCTGCGGCCGGCCTCGGCATCGCGGTAGTCCTCAATGGCCAGGCGGAGCTTCCGCCTGTGCAAGGAACTGCACACGCCTAGGCCCAACTCCAGGTCCTCGTCACTCAGGCTGAGGAGCACCTGCATTCAGGAGGTAGGCTTAGTACAGGAAGGTGAGGTGTAGGTAGAGCCTGACCTTGGCACCTGGAGCTCCAGGCCCTGTTTGCTGCTGCTGAGCCAATACGGAAGGATCTGAGAAAACGGGGCTCCTCATCTGCACCCCTCTCCCAGCCAGCTCCCTATACAGGGCATCAGGACACCTGTGCAGCCTGAGATGGCTGAAAGCTCCCAATAAAGCTTGTCCCTAGGGAGTGGTGGCTTATGTCTTTAATCCCAACATGTGGGAGACAGAGGCAGGCCGATCTCTGAGTTCAAGGCCAGCCTCCTCTACAGAGTTCCAAGATAGCTAGCCGGGGCTCCACAGAGGAACCCTGTCTTGAAAAGCCAAAAGATAAAAAAGATGATAAAAAGGATGTCTAATATGGAGCCTCATGTCCCCCTGGGGCTGTCTTGCTCCAGCTGTCCCCTGATATCTCTTGCTGGGCTCCTGGAGGTTCTGGGCTCAACTACTGTTATAGGCCACTGTTTAGGTGTACCACTGTTGGAACCAAGATAGGTGGCGCCACCATGTAGGCTAATCCCCCCCCCAAGTCCAATCTTGCCCCTCTTCTGCCAGCTCTGGGGAAGTTGGTCACCATCTGAGGCTGGTCCCATTTCAAGGACGAGGTAGCATGACTCCAAAGGGCTGCGTTCCTTGCTAGAAAGACTGATGTATTGGTGACCTGGGCCTGCAATAAATTGGCCAACTTCTAGATTATACCTCTTCTTGTCCCTAGAGTAAAATGAAGTCCAGTCACCCCCTGGGAGGGCATAACACTCACGGGAGGGTACAGAGGCATCCGCCCGGGGCCCGAGCTGCCTACCTTCCCACTCTTGACATTCTCCGCACAGGCTTTGACGTACATGGGCATGGCCATCACCACCTCCAGCCAGGCCTGTACGGTGCCAGCCTTCCAGTGGGACATGGGCGTGGTCCTCACCAGCTCCACGTGCTGTAGACGGTCCATCTGCTCCTCCCCCTCAGACAGGCTGAGGCTGTGGCGTGTGGGGCTGCACTGGCTGTCGGAGTCTGCAACATACAAGTAGACAGAGGAGCTGTGGGGAGGAGCCACGTTCAGGGGTCGGCTGGGGGGGACTTTAAGGCACAAAATCAAAGTGGCTCTCCTGGAACCCTGTCCATGCTCCGGCAGATGGCCTCACATGCACGCACACACAAGAAACATCGATAGAACTTAGAGGTTATTAAAGAAGTGGGGGAAATAAAGTTGGGAGGGGCAGTGTAGAGCAGGGGGAGAGCTGAAGGGGAAAGGGTGGGAGTAGATGTAAGAAATGCTTAAAGAATGAATACAAATCAAAGCCACCTATCCCCCATTACACAGTCCTCTCTGCTTCCCCAAAGAGGCAAGAAACATGATATTCCAGAAAGGAATGAACCTAACACAAGAATGTAAATCTCCCAATGCCACCCCTAGACAGCAGCTGTTAGTATTTAGTTAAATAGTCTCCAGGAGACACCAACGCCCAGGCTCCCAGACCTACATGCGTGGCTCTGTTCTGCCTGATGCTTTGGCCCAGATACTATGATAGGCAGGCATTGTTCCGTTTCAGAAGAGGATTTCAGGACAATCTTTTGACAGTGTGACAGGGATGCACCCAACTTATTTCATTCTGCATTGGCTGGGGGTGGTGAGGTGGGAGAGGGGGATAGGGTTTTTCCCAGTTTTACACACTATAGATACAGAGTAGCAGATAGCACCAGGAGACTTGTTTTCTTAGGATAGGCCCAGCTCCAACCTTTAACACACAGCAGCGTGTCCCTGGAGTAGCCACATAGACAGAAGGAACTGAACCCCCAGGCAGATTGGTACAGTGTTTGTGTTGCAAACATGAGAACTTGGCTTTATTCCCTGAACCCATGTTAAAAAAAAAACCAGATGGGGTCAGCAAGATGGCTCAGTGGGTGGTGCTCGCTGTACAAGCATGGTGACCTGTGTTCAACCCATGAAGAAGCAGAAGGAAACAACAGAATCCAGTTATCCTCTGCCTCTGTCTCTATATGCATTTGTAGCATGCATTCACACACACACACACACACACACACACACACACATTATAATTATGTATGAAGATGTGCACAGCAATCATTCTTGCAATCCCCCTGTGAAAATCAGAGACAGGTGGATCCCTAGAGTTTACTGGCCAAACAGCTTAGCTCCTGAGAGAGCCCAGACCAGTGACTCATTCTCAAAAAACACAAGTGGTTGATGCCTGAGGCAGGAAAGATGATGTTGTTCTCTGGTCTCTGCGCACACAGGGACACACACCTGCACCCACACATACATATATGAACACAAGCACATATATGTGCATGTGTACCTTCGTACACATACATGAACATGTATGAATACACACACACACAAACCATATGAGATGTATAATTTTAAACTGCACATGATATGCATGCCTGGAGATTAGGGAGATCGGGAGTTTATGATGCATCTATTAAATGGGTATAAGATATTATCTGCCTCCTAGGTGGGCAAGTATGTTTCACCTCTGGCTGTGATGACTAGGCAGGCCCTCCTTCAGGGACAGCTGACACTGGTAGCCAGGGCCTTTCCCTGGGACTTGGGCACCTTTGGGCCACACTTAGAATTCATCAGGTGTCTTGGTCTCATGAATTGCTTGGATACGATGCATTTGTTGTTGTTAAACCTAGGTGCTGAGGAAGGGATTCCGGTGAGCCTGGATTAGACCCCGGGCTGACTGGGCTGGGTGGTCAGAGTCAGGGGTGTTGGGTGGTGAGGAGGGGAGCTGAGAGTTTTTTTGTCTGGTGGAAGTGTCTATTTGTGCTTGATTTCCAAGAAAGGGGTCTGTGGGAGGTTGTGGGGTGGTGGTGAGAAAGGGGAAGGTGAAAAGCAGGCAGGGACGCAGCTGAGCAAATACCACCAGCCTTCTAGAAGCAGCAAACCTCCAAAGGTGACTGGGAAGAGAGGGGGAGGGGGAGGAATGACTGACAAGTGCACACAGCGTAAAGCAGACATTCTGTGTGTGCCTTGGTGTGTGCATGTGCCTGTGTGAGCATGTACCCATGTACACCTGTGTGTGCACGATTGAGTATGCTTGTGTCTGTACGTGTTTGTGTGCAGATCTCCTGCAGCCAGCAGATGTGTGTGTGTGCATATGTGCCCATGTGCACTTGTATGTATGTGCCTGTATGTGTTTGTGTGCAGGCCTTTTGCAGCCAGCAGGTGTGTGTGTGTGTCTGTGTTACCTGTGTGTGTGCAGGAGTTGATCGGCCCTCATACTACCAGTTGCTTATGGAACACAGGGTAGTGGAGTGCCAGAGGCTGCACAGGCTCCCACCATTAACTCACACACTCAGGCTTAGGTTGAACCTCCCCAGTCCCCACACTTCCTGTCTTCCATCCTAGGACTGAGCTGCAAAGCGGGGGAGCGGGGATTGTAGGATATTTGACCACACTGTGAGCCCCATGATTGTCATGATTGTGTTAGTTACTAAAAAAACCTGTTTCTAGTTGTGGTATGCCTCAGTTCTTAGCACACACCTCTTTTTTTGTTGTTTGTTTTTTGAGACAGGGTTTCTCTGTGCAGCCCTGGCTGTCCTATAACTCACTCTGTAGACAAGGCTGGCCTCGAACTCAGAAATCCGCCTGCCTCTACCTCCCAAGTGCTGGGATTAAAGTGTCCGGCTCTTAGCACACACCTTTAATCCCTCTGACTGGAATACAGACACACCCTTAGTACACACCTTTAGTCCCAAACAAGGAAGGTAAAGTTAGTTTGTAGAAAGAAGCATCCGTGTTTGAAAGTGATATTTAATTGAATGTCAGACAAAGAAAGATTTGACAGAACAGGAAATGGCTAACTCATGAGAGAAGAAAGCTACTTAAGAGAGCTGCAAGTGGGGGGCGGGGGAATGTTACCAGGAGAGTTTTACAGAAACTGATTCAATAGAGAACAAGCCAGACACAGCTGAAGACCGAGATGAGAAGGAGTCACAGGATTAGAACAGATTTCTAGAGTTAGTTTGAGGTCAAGCAGAGCAATCCAGGAGAAGCCGAGAGAAGGCAGATTGAATCAGTCAGTTTGGAGAGGAGTTTGAGCCAGAACATCCAAGGTGACCAGCCAGCCAGAGATGAGAAAGAACTAGGAAGGGGTGAGCTGATTTAGCAGTAAGTCTCAGAGGCTGAAGACATCCTAGGCCTAGATAAGATTGTACGGAGGCTAGAAGCTTCCAGGACTAGGCCTGGGTTAGCAGACAGGCAGCAAGCCTCAGAGATAAGAACTACAACAGGAGAAAAACAGATACTTTTAGAGGAGGGTATGGCAAAGGAGGGACTTTCTAGGATCATAAAGCATCAGCTACACTGTGTTCCCTAAATGCTGGCCTGACTGATAAGTTTCCATGCCTGGGCTTCCTTCACTTCTGTGGTTATTTTCCTTCCTTCTCAGCTCTGAGAGTGAGAATGGGTCATGTTTACAGCCTGACTGCTCAGCCAAAAGGCTGGAGTCAGGGGACTAGTTACCCATGGGAGGTTTAGGTTTCTGGTTTTTGCCTATCACGTGCGTGTGTGCGTGCGTGTGTGCGTGTGTGTGTGTGTGTGTGTGTGTGTGCATGCGTACATACATTCGAGTGCTCCTTGTGTGCACCCTCACAAGCTATTAAGGACACTGTCAATGCTGATAACAGTCTTGCTGCAGAGGCTTCCCAGGAGGCCACAGGCCCTGTGGAGGCCACCGTAGGTGCCAAACAGTGATTGGCACAGGGTTGCATCCCAGTTTAGAGGAACAAAAGAAGAAGTCTGGGTCTAATACTCCCCTGTGGGACCCCAGCCATGCCTCTTGGTTCCTCATGTCTTCATCTGACTTGGCTCACGCCGAGGACTTGGGTATCTGTGGCAAGATCAAGATTGTCTGGCCCACAATGCCCCAGATCATCGTGTGTGGTCCACTGCACAAAGCCCTTGGGAGAATGGCCTGGCTGGGTGGCTCAAGGCCGACATAGAGGCTTTGGTCTCCATTACCTCATTCAGTCCTGCTGCCCCAGTGGGTTGGGGGCTTCACTTTCTGGATCACTGGTTGTCATGTCATTGTCTTCAGAGTGTGGTCCCTGAGATATCAACATCAGTGTCACCCAAGAACAGGCTAGAGATGAAAGTTCTAGGAGTCCTTGAGCGGACTGGGGAACTGGGGTAGCCCAGCTTCCTCAGCAGTCCTCGTGATTTAGAGGCAAGTCCCAGGGCACATCCATTGCTTTAGCGGCCGCTCTCACACTTAGTATGCAGAGTCAGCTGACCAAGACCTATAGCTCATCCAGTGTTGTCTTAAAGTCCCAGCTCAGATAGTAAGAATGGACACCGGCGATTCGCAGCACCCCTTGTTTCTATGATGCTACAGGCTGCTTTTAATCCTGAAGGCCTCAGTCATGGGACACTGTACACATGATGTCTTCACACTGATTACTGTCTGCTTGAAATAACTCACCTAGACGGTTAACAGGGTTTTTTTTGGTTTGGTTTTTTTTTTTGTTTACCACTCCTTGTCCTCTCAGAGCCAGATTCTGGGCATCTATTTTCTGACTGCCCAAGAAAGTGATTGAAACTCTCCTTTGATTCAAAGTGTTTGGGGGGGGCAAGGAGAGTGGTGAGCCCTCAAGACTTGTTTATCTGAAAAAAAGCTTGCATCTGCTTCCCAAGGGGGACACAGTGCAGGGTGGGGTGTTCCCCACACTTTGTCTCTTCACTCTGAAGACAGAGTTCCTTTAATCTCCCATCCTCCTGTTTGGCAAGGGAAGTCAGGGCAGTCTCATTGGCCTCTGCTGGCTGCTTTGAAAGTTTCTCATTGTCTTCTGTGTGTCTCAGTTTCATTACAATGAGGCTAGTTTTGAACTCTCTCTCTTTCCTCTCTATCTATCTATCTATCTATCTATCTATCTATCTATCTATCTATGATTCTCTCTATGTGTCTGCCTCTGACTCTGTCTCTCTATGTGTGTATCTATCTGACTGTCTCTCTTTCTGAATCTGTGTCTCTGTCTCTGACTCT